GCACTTATTGCTCATAAAGCATTTTTATGGCACTCAAATGCAACTTACCACAGAAACGCAGTGTATTTATACTGTACAGACAAATGCTAATATTACAACAGTTTCAATAGTGACGGGGTGAGTGGAACAAGTGAATTTGGTCAAGAAACGTGATATGTTTGCAGAGGAAGAGAACAGGAAAGTGAAGAATGAGAGGAACGTCAGGAAAGATGTTTAAACATCCATTCATCTGTAGCAAACTGCTTCAAGTGCAGAACGCAAAACACTCTCAAATACTATTTTAAAAGAATTGCATTATTTTAAAAGAGTTCAAAAGAATTTACTGGATTTATCTGTAGCACATCCAAGCTGTCTATGGCATTCTGCAAAGGGCACGTGCCAAGAGTCCACTCTACAACATCATATACACTGAAAACAGTCTAAACACTCTTGCAGTTCAAGTTGAATCTCCTCTGATCTAGAAGCTGCAAATCTAAGATACTAAGGCAGCACAAGTCCATCCTATAAAAACCACTCAACAGAGTGGGGGCTACTCTTAGATTTCTGAGCTGCTTCYCCATGATACCACAAAGACTGCTCTGCAATGCAGAAAACATCAAAATACTTTTCTCTGTTCACGGAAAGCAATGGCAATAGGGGAAAGGGGGCAATGAAAGTCTCATATATAAATGTCAAGGATTCTACGACTCCCTGGTGATCCTGGCAATGAGCCAGGTAAAAGTTTTCTCTTCCTTTGCTGTTTGCAGCAACAAATCCTCCCYGGGGGGAGGAGGGTGAGGACTGGAACTTACTTCACTGCATCTGATAGGATGGCAAATTGTCCAGGCCTGACATTTATGGGGGACCCGAAGCTCCATAGAAGCACTCTGGGAGGATTAAAGCAGGGTTAGCCGCTCCAATCACACTCCCTAAAACGCTGCAAATGGCAGGCAGATGAAAGTTCTTCTAAATTCGATAATGATGAGTCTAAAGAAGCCCGAGACAGAAGCTGTCCCTCGTCAGGGAAAGAACTGCAGCTGGAAGCAGAGTATTCTCATTAAAGGACTTGTAAAATCTATCTGTGCTCAAAGAGCAACCAGTGTCCAGATCCTGAAGTTGTCTTTAATTGATTAAGCAGAACTAAATCCCAACCCCTGCATGTGAGCCACGCCACCCACCAAAAAACCTGCATACCCTCCCTTTGCTTTAACTCTCTGCAGGAGCGTTTCGCAGTAAGAACGGGAAGGTTCACACGCCGGCACTCATTGCCTGGAGCCAGCAGAAAGGCTCATATAGCTGTCAGCAAGCTGATAAGGGCTGAAATTACTCTACAGAGCCCTCTTTAAAGAAGAGCCAAAGCAGCACATTAAATGAAAGGGAGGAGGGGTCAGAAAAGCCAGCCACTCATGTTGTTTTAACGTGGCACTAAAACAAGTCATTGATTTATGCATGTGTCTCCAGGTCTGCTTGACCTGCAGCCTGAACTTTCCTTCAGGTCAGGGCTAAGGCACAGGGCATGTGCACTAAAAAAAGATCCCTAACAGTTTGTCCAGGTACTGCCACTGTGGGAACAAACAGTGCAAGTTACATGCCTTCTACACGCTTTTTTAGAAGTTATATATACTTATATTTATATATACACTTATATTTTTTTTAAATTAAAATCAAATTTAWATTCCTTTTTAGTTTTTAACCGTCCATCTAGAAATGTCTTYTGTCTTTGAAAAGACAAACAGCTGTGCTTATTTTCACTTTTAATTAATAAAATGATGAATGGAATGTTACACAGCCACGAGGTTATTGGAGTTTTTGGTTGTGGGATTTTTTTTAATTTTAATTTTTTTTGTTTATTTTTTTGTTTTTTTGTTTTGTTTTGTTTTGTTTTTTGTTGACTTAAAACAAAAAAACAAAAAAAATAAAGTCAACAGCTTGCCCACGGTGGGTTCTGCAGCGGCCCGACACGCACCCTGYGGTGCCTCCCCAGGGCCCTGCTCCTTCCCAGCTCAGAGGGGGCTCCTTTGCATTCGTCTCCGATGCATTTTCCTGCCTTGGAGTTTTTCAACAACTCTTTTTGGGTTGTGTAACTTAACCATTTTCAACTCCGGTTAGTAGTAACAGGAGTTAGGGAGCATCAAATGAAATGGCATCAAACAGCGCATGGCGATTCCTATCCACTTTCTTCACGACAGTGTTATTTTACAGCTCTGTATTACCTCCCAGTGCCTCATTTTTGAGGGCAGGAGCCTCGGAGCACCTAACCCATCCTCACGTGGAATTGGCCGTGACCCCTCGGGAAGTCTGGGCCGAGGCCGCCCCGCTCCCGGACCCGCCTCCGGGCACCTCTGCCAGGCCCCGCGCTCCATATGGAACCATTTGGGAGGGGGGATGGTTCCAGGAAGCTTCAAAGAAAACGGGAATGACAACATTACTGTATAAAACAGACAAGACAGCAAGCCCAGAGATGCACAAGCTTCATGCAGACTGGTATTAATTTCAGCAGCTCCAACAGYGGAGGCTCTTTTGGATGGTCGCTGCGTGGCAGTCTGTGAGAACGAGCACRTGCTCCGCTGCCGCCTTCGCGGGCRCACGCACCACATGGGATTTTCAACACAGGCAACTTKTCTTCTCCACAGTGCAGGCTAAGGCATGATCACAGGAGGGGAAACAGCTATTACATTTTGTGGGAGTGATGGGGGGCAAAATGCCTGCAAGTGAGAATAAAGGCATTCCTTAATATTGTACCTGCTACAGATCTGAATACAGCCCCATCTAACGCAGGGCAAGAGAAGTTAGCCCAGGTTTCCTACATGCCAGCCCTGCTCAGACCAATAAATACTCTTTTTCCTGATTTATACCACAAACTCTCAACCAAACAGTTAGGCATAATAAAGTTATATTATAGGAAATCAAGTCCCGCTCACACTAGCAGTATATCCTGGCAGGTTTCAATTCCAAAGGTGAAACACCTGCATTTTATCCTCTCCACGCTAGTGGCAGCATGATGTTCATGATCAGTGTAGAAACTATAGGAAAATCTTTTCAAATACAGGTTCTTTCACATTACAGATTTAATAATTTTCCTAAAATTCCTAGATTCACAAGAGAAAMAAACATAAATACATGAAGCCAAATCATGTCTCCAGTAGCTGTAACTGTGAAGCTACTTTTTCCTCTTGCCACTCCTGGCTTTGCATTAGTATTTGCTGCCTGTGCATCCCACAAAAATGGCTCATTTGTGTGAAGGGACCAAGGAGAAAGGAGACCTCTGATGGCCACCGCAGTATTTGCAGACTTACGCTGTACCCAGAATAAAGTGAAGCTGGCAACAGAATTCCGTTATGGAAGACACTCACCAGTAAAGTGTCAGTCTATTTTCTTTACATATATATGCAGCAAACACCATGCAGAGTTTAGCCTTGTCTGGTTAGAAATAAYGATACTAGAGTGATGTAAATTACATACCCCCACCTCCTCAAAAACAAAAGATTACCTGGGCCACTCTTTATGGAAGTGACACATAGGACGGCCTGGTCAATGAAGCTGTTCAATGGTGTTGCAGAAACTTGTCCTCACAAGTTGCAAAAATCCCACTACAGAAATGTTAGACACCTTCACACAGCATCTGAGACGAGACCCTTTACTTTCTCTCCATCCATCAGGCCCTCACTTTCTGCAGACCTCTGTTCCTCAGCAGTACAACTGTGGTAGCAGCATCTTTCTACCTCAGGATATGCTCATGTACCATATATACAGTGATGATGCCTAAAGATTCCAGAAATCAGGTTACAGTCTAACATATGTTAGCATCTCCCCTCACCGCTAACCCCAAAATGGAATTTCCTATTCAAAGCACCAAAAGAACCACGCAGTTGAATCCTTCCATACCTGCAATTTGCCAACAAATCTCTTCACATTTTCTGAAAATCCTGCTACATCTAACAGTGCTGATCTGCACTGTGTGCATGAACTCCTGAATTAAAGCTTGGTGATGACAGAGTAACAAACAGGCAACAGCATCAACTGGAATTAACTGTAAGATGTTTCATTTTGACTATAAACCCAACACACAGATTTCATTTGCGAGTTTGAGCAGCTCAGGACCTCACCTTTTCCAGTCACAAAATAAGTAACATCTCCCCTCACAGATATCATCATCTTATTCAAAATATTTAAAGCATTTAAGCATAACAAGTTGTCGCATTTGAGAGCTTAAAGCTCATCTATAACCAAAAATTTCCCTATGTATATACAAATTCTTGAACTTTCTTTCAGAAACTTAGATATAATACAAAGAAAAACAAAAAAATATATAAAAATAGGTATATACACCTTGTGATTTAATCAGAAAAAGCTCAGYAAACAAAAGCAGGCAGTAAACCTGCATTTAAGGAGATCTACCATCGCAATATGTATTAAGAAAACAGACTGGACAAAAAATAAAAGAAGAAAGAAAAAGTGAAGTTAATGAATGTGGTCTCCAACTAGACCACATTATTGGGAGCCAGCAATCTCCATTCCCATGGTAAATACCTATGATTCTTACATGAAGAAGCAGGTGCTCAAAACCTCAATTTCACATTTCRTATCTGCTGCTGCCCAGGATGGGGAGGCTTTGATCCCTGTGGACGCTGCAATGTGTTTCACAACAGCATGCACATTAACATGCTAGGCTGGAGGCATTCCAGTCCCGAGTAACTGCAGTCTGCCTGCCCAGGCACTGCTCTGCAATTGCAATCATATGCCCTGCTCTTAACTTCCTGACCTAAGGGCTAAGGGAGTACTGCTGAGCAGCTGCTGCTTAACAGATCTAGCTGCAGCACTGATGGCTACAGACAAAATATTGAAAAGTTATGGTGAATGCATATGTTTAGCATAGTGAAGAGGGCTGAATAATCATAATATTAACACAAGTATATGATGGAAGCTGCTGCATCACCAGCTTTTACAATAAGGCAGATTTACAAACTCACATCCTAAACATGGAAAAAGGAAAAGGATTTAACTCTAGAACTTTATTTTACCTGTCTTTGCATCTCTTCAATTTGTCTCTGAGGAACACTTTGCAGAATGCTGTACATTTCAGGCATCTTTTCTTCTGGGATGACAACAGAGGCTCTGCAAATGAAAAAAAAAGTAGTAAGATAAGTTAAATAAAATTTTGCATTGGCTCTTTTTAAACTAGATTCTTGTCCTAATCTATTAAGACACACCAGGAAGATTTTAGAAGAAAGAAACTGTCTCCTCTATGTAGATTACTCTGCTGCAGTGGAATTCCTTTACCACTCCAGCCAGTTTGCCTATGGGCAATGCCACAACTCTGCGGACTGATCTATAAACACAACAAATACAGAACAAACCTAAACACAGAACTCCTGAACTCTAATCCCAGGGCTGCCACTGAGTTGTTATGATGTTATGTCTTTTGGAGTGAACAAACAGTAATAGCATATGCAATGCTATACATACAAACTGATTTATATATGTATTATTCTAAGATCATACACAGACTGGRCATTGTGCATGCATGCAAAAATCCCCTCAACTGTAACAGTACGTTCATCTATAAAACAAACACACTCTTCAGTCTTAGAACACATGAATGGCAAGACAATATAGTGAATTTAAGCATTTAAGTGAAGCAATATTTGGCATATACCTTTCTTAGGGGAACCCGAATGTGGGTCATCCATCACTGAACGCAGGCAAAAGACAAAGTGGCACTTCTATTTTATGAAAGCTACCCTAGGCTACAAGGTAACCAAATGTTCATCTTTGCCTGCTTGGATTTCCTCTCATATTCTCAAACAAGGAGAGCATCCATCCCAGTCCATTTTATTCACTGCAACCCCCACTAGACCTGCCTCATTACCCMGATCTCACTCATATCACCGAATGCAACGGAGGCTTCTTATGCACATGTTGGAGGGACAGGAGTTCGGGTACAGACCTCTTCCAATCCAAAACTTCAGAGAAAGGCAAGATATAGGAATCAGCAAGGATGACCGGGACGCAGCCAGCTTGAAGAACGTCACTCAGCACGGSCTGTCCCAGGCGGGCTCCGCGCAGGACGACGCAGAACGTGGCTTCCTGGCACCAAAGGGCACCCAGCACAGAAGGCAAAAAGAAGGCAGGGTCAAAGTTGCAGGATTACGTGGTCCTGCTTTTCTCCTCATAAAAAACAGGCCAGAAGGTAAACGGATTTTTCTTCCATGTTACCAACATACTCTAACTTGGCAGCAAATTCAAATTAATTACATAGCTTCATGGGTTACTGAGTCAATATAATAAGATTCGTAACTTTGGATTTTTAATTGAGAAAATTCATGGGGAAAAGTAAATCAAATATTCTGAAATTTTGGCATAACTAGGTGAGCAACAATCAACATGAGCTTAACAAAAAACAATCCATATCAAGTCAATCCATTTTGTTTTCCATTATATGACAATTGGGCTCTATGAACAGTAGAGAAGTAATAGATTTCATAACTTYAAAAGGCCTTGGACATCATCTCAAATAACATTCCTGCAAGCAAATTAAAAATCATGGGCTAGATAAAACGCTCATTGGGAGATACATAAATTATAATTACAGGACTCTAAATATAAAACAGTTAGTAGTGACTCACAGGCAAAAATAAGTGATGGATCAAACAGTGTTCCAAAGGATCTGTCCAGACACAGCACTATCAAGGGTGTCCTCTGATTAGCTGCATAGCAGAATTAAGGCAGTACTTACTAATTTTGATGGTATCAACAATTCTGGAGGATGATTAGCGAGTGTAATGGGCAACAGAGAATTTGAAATTATAGGGAGACACTGACTAAAAATACAGCTATATAAGGTTCAACATTTAGATAAAAATAACCATCTGCACAAACACAAAGCAAAGCAATCTCTCTACTTTTGCTGAAAAAAAAACATTTTGCAGAAAAGGACAGGAAAAGAAAGGAAATTCATAATTCAGCAGTGTAGTCTCACTGCAAAGAAAATAAGCAACTCCATCCAAAGTTGGCATTAGAATGTAAAAGAGAAACACAAACTAGGTGACCAAAGTTATGCTTCACTCTGCTGAAAAATGAAAAAWGGTCAGGATGTCAGAGCAGTGTGTTTGGTCTTCACAATGTACTTCAAGAAGAATAAAACGTACTTGAACTGTGAACTTCAAGAAGCAAGTATAAAGACTCAAAACAAAACAAAAAATTATTTTCTACAATGAAAGACTGAATGCAAGAGTTTGCCTGCTAGAAAGTCTGGAAAGGATGAACTGTGATCGTGGTCCTCAGGCTTCCCTCCTTCCCCAAAGCACAAAAGGAAAAAAAAAAAAAAAAAAAAAGAAAGAAAACACAGCAGGGGAATGGAGGGAGAGGAGAGAATGAACACACGTTTTAACCATTCACCCAGGGGATCACAGGGCAGCAGGTGGAAGAGACCCTGGTAAGGTCTGGGAGAGGGAAAAATAMGCAGCCCAGATGTGGACACACATGCTCATCTGCCCAGATAAGCATTTTTCCTGTCTAGACAAAGGTTACTATAAATACATCTCCTCACATCACTACTGTTATCAGCCAGACATTCCAAAGGGAGACGCAGGGCTCTGCAAAGGAAAGTATTTTAACAATCTCGGCATGTGCCAGCTCTTCTCCGAGTTATATTATACACTGAGATAGAGATATAGATCCCCTTACTAGCTATCCTTGAGCAGTCCAGTCTGCATTTAAAGAAAGAAAACTTATTTTTTTTTCTTTTGGCTGAAACTTTAGAACCGAGGGTGACCCCTTCCTCCCTYTCCTCCTCCTCCTCATGGAATTTTTGACGTATTTCCTCCAAAACATAACAGGAGGAGTGGAAAGTTTGCCTTTCCTAGGCAYGTTTGCTATTTTATCATCATTTGCTGAAGTTCAAAGACTGATTACGTGCTGGTGGCCGCAGAGAGAGCACAGTGGTCTATGCCATAACTCTCTCGACCATGGTGCACGCCAAAGCACCTCTCTGCTCGGGAACTGCCAAGACACAGGGGCCTGAGAACATTAGCTAGTTTCATCTCCACTGACACATCAAAAGGCCTCTGGAAGTTGGGCCAAGGCCACCAAACACATTTCACCTAGAGGTTTTCATAGCTGCATGCTGACAAGTCCTCTGGTCTAGTCTGTTGTATCCATGCAGGATATTTTGTAGGGTTTTGTAGGGTAACCAGTAAGCTGCATGCAAAAAACAACTTGACCAATTTTCATTAAATAGAGGATTAGAGGATTCTAATTAATTCCAATTTAATCCATTAAATAGAGGACTAGAGGATTCTCTTTTTCCCAAATAAGTTTACACATAAGTTCTTAAAAGTTTATTTTATTTTTCCCTCTGATTGACAAAGCTGCCAAGCTCTCTTCCAAACTTCATCTAATGAGATCTGGATTGCCAGAAATGAGAAATCAATTCCAAAATCACTCCAGCTGAAGGTCAATTTGCCAGTTATTCTGGASAGTGTAATTCTAATGGTTGTGCAAAATTTTCAAAAGAGTTCACTTGACCACCAACATTTCTTCCTCCTGTTTCCATCAGATTCAACGGCACATTCATGTCATCTTCTAAGTTTACACGACATGATGTTGACATGCTGTTTAAACTATCATGACCAGCCTCATGAAATTGAGCAATAATTTCGAACTGCAGCTGAATACATATATTTGGCTCCAAAATTCTCATCCCTTGTACAAACGAGCAGAATTTGCATATATTATCCAAGCTAACATAATAAACCACGTGCTAAAAAAAATACACCCAGCAAGTTAACTGAAACGCAAGGAAGTGCCCTTGTATTTGGGCACTACACACGCTCATGCTAATGTACTAAACAGGAACTGCTCCGTAGTTAAAAGAGTCTCCAAAGGGAAGAGCAGCTTGCAGGAGAGGCGGCCTTACCTGCAGCACCTGAGGATAATCGAAGACTTGGTTCTTGTGACAGCGTTTGCGAATGGCAGGGACCCCATCCGAGAGGTTGGTGCATTTGTCCAGGATCAAMACGGACTCCCCGTTCTCGGCCTGAAGAGCCTCCAGCTCGGCGCGGTACTCGGGGTGCAGAGCCATTTGGGAAGACAAGAGGAAATACCTGCGAGGGCTGAAACACCAGGGCCACTGTCACCACGGGGCCGCCCGTGCACCCCCCTTCCCCCTGCCAAAGCAGCATCACATTAACCAAAGGTGGACACGGGCCAAGCCCACTTCCACAGGCCAGGATGTAAGTGGGAATGATGCAGTAAAATGAAGCTTTGGATGCAAGTGGTTCAGCATTAGCTGCAACTTGTACTAAGTTAATACTTACTATCCTACAATAAGCACTTGCATTTCAAGCTGCTCTGTAAACTGAAGCAACGTTCATTTGGCTACATATTAAAGCAGCTCCCCATGGATGCCAGGATTGCTCATTCTTCTATTGCATGCTCTTTTCTAATTACAAAGCAGTTAGGATATTGGATGCTGCTGCTAGACTCCCTTCCCAAATCCTTAATCAACAATTTCCRTTGGGAAAAGTGCTCAAGTGACAAATCAGTTGCCCTCTACCCTTTTTTACAGTCTTGACACAGTGATGGCAGGACAAGCTCCCCTTGCTGACCATGACTCATTTCTCTCCTGTCAGGACAAGGGCCACATTTCCCAGACAACATTGAAGGTTCATCAAAATATTTCAAAATGCTGATTTGCTTTGAARGTAAAGCACACAGTGATGGAGTCTCAGATTATATGTTCACAGCTTTAACAATGTTGTAATACAGTATGTTACACTCACTCACTTTGATTTTCCTTTTAAAGGGACGAGCTAAGCCAGACTGCTCTAGCATTCCCCATGCAAGGGAACCCATAGCGGGTGCTCGTCTTGACACTGCCAAAACGACACAAGAAATGGGGCCTTCACTTACCATTCCACTTCTCCTACATATGATACTATTTTTAATGCACAGCTCTGAAAACACAAACTTACCCATTATAAAGCGAGACCTTTCCTGCTGCTTTTCTCACCCTTTTACTTATTCTCATGCTGGTCTTGTTACTTGCTCTAATTAACAGCTGAGTTGCATAAAAAAATGCTTTCTTAAACATACTTTCTTTCCTAAGCTTCAAGTTACTACCAGCAGCTTTATAGAACACATAAGTCTAGCAGAGGTATATTAAAACCTTCTTAACTAAAAAGGACAGCAAATCAAAAACTTGCAGTTTAGCTCTGCAAGGTGGGGAGGAAGGAGGGAAGTTGCCTTAAGGAAAGGAAATACTGTTGCAGATGAGTGAAAATAAATGCCTGTGACCAGCTAGAAAACATGCAGGATCATTAAGGGATATGTTTAAAATCAAATTTTGCCTTTAAACAGTCATCACTCCGTGACTTCCAAACCTAGCGACCAAATCTTGCTATGAGAGAAACTGCAACACAGCTACCAGAAAATAGCCCCCTGTAACAGTGGAATGCAATCATTTACCCAGGCAAGCCTGAATCCCGAGTGTCCTTCCCTTACCTCACTTCCTTCATCAAACTGGGGTTGGGAATGTGTTTCCAATAATAACGCTAAGTGGCCACTAGATGGTACTCGGGAGACTACAGTCCAGCCCTCACTGAAGGCAATATTTGGAAATGTTTTGCCACTTACATGTTCTCAGGGGCATCCAGGCTCACACCCTTGGACCAGCTCCCAGGCCAGGGGTTCCCTATGAGGCCCACAGCCAGCTGCAGCACCAGGCTGGCTGCGTGGACACGGACCACGTCACTGCGCACTCCTCACATGCACGCTCTCCACAAAGATACATCAATCTGCACATGAGGAGGAACTTCTTCCTGTGAGGGTGACAGAGCCCCGGAACAGGCCGCCCAGGGAGGCTGTGGAGTCTCCTCCTCTGGAGACCGCTCTGCTCTGGCCCCACTGCAGCCTTTCCACCGCAGTCTGCTCCTTTAGTAACACACGTTTCCCACAAAACTTCGTTACCAGAAAGGAACTAAAGCTTCTGCTTTTKGAAACCTAATTCTCTGCAACAAACAAGTCTCCCCCTCCCCATTGCCTCAGTCCACTCATCTTTTTGACAGGGCCTTACTATGTTGTTATTTTTCTGTCAAATGTTTTCAGCTGCTAAAGAGGTTTATGAAATATTAGAAGAATTTGCTTTTTAAATTGATTAAAGCAGGTCTTCCAGACTTCCACCTACTTTTATTCGGAACAAATGAATGAATTGGAGAAACCACAGCTTTACAGGGTAAATCATTTTAACAGCTAAATACATGCTCTGTGATTTCCCATTTGGCTTGCTTTACTTCCAGCTACGGGGTTTATGTCTCCCTGCATTACTCTGGAAGATAAAATTCAGTATTCTAATCTCTGGAATCCAATAATCCAGTCAACTCTCATACTTGTTTTTCATGAGCTAACCACACTAAGCTCTGTAAGACTCATTCTGCAAGACCTTCTTCCTTCAGACTTCCATTAGCAGCTTCCCCTTGTACCTGTTCCAAATTTTCAACATCACTTTGAAAGGACCCCAGAACTACAGAAGCACTCAAAGTGATCTGGAAAAAAAATGCATCCATATGGCCCACAGAGCCCACATCCCCATTCCTCCTGCTTATGCTTTCCAAGTCTGCATTAGCTGACGCTACTTCAGGCAGTTGTGTTGTTCACGATGACCCCTTTACTCTTTTCAAAGTCACACTGGAGGTACAGTGTGCTTCTTTTATACTTGAAATAGCAATCTTTTGCCATTGCTTTTAAGCATTATAAAATTGTTTTTGCTTTATTGCTTTGCATTACTGCTCTGTTTTATTTGTCACTTAAATTTATACATATATATATATTCATGATTACTTTTTACTTATTTCCAGAGAGCTGGCAATAGATACTGATCTGGAACCAAATCTTATTCTAACGCTACTAGAAACCCTGGCATATCATTGTGTTCCACACTTCACTTTCTGGAGCAGGACAAACAGAGAATCACTAGGAAAAAACATAAATTCCCAGATAAATCAGCCTGGCAGATGAGCCAGATAGACAGAAGCACTGGAAAAAATCACATTTAATGGCAAGGCCTGGTGCACAAACGCAGTGCTTACCAAACTGCCCAACCTACCAACAACTTGGCAGCTAAACACACATCCAGCAGAACCCGTATTAAACACGGTACTGAATATCCTCTGCTGGATCACTGGAATTGCTTTACCCTGGTCCTCTTTCCGGCAGATCCACTTCCCCGGAGAGTGGGCTGTAGACGGGAATACTGACATCGTAGCCTTGCCGGTAAGTCCACGTGGAAAAGCCTCCACCAGCCAACAGAGCCCTGGAAAGCACAAAGAGAGAGCCTGTAAATAAAGCAGGTTGATCATCCCAAGCCCAGAGCACCATTTGCTCGTTACCATTGCCAGGGTATCAAAAGAACGAGTGCTCCAACAGACAGGTTCTYCTTCAGTTTTCCTTAGTGGTATTTTTCATGCAGCTCTTAGGGTTACTTGAGTTTTCCTATACTGGTTTAATACCAAATGGGAGCCAGTCACCAACAGAAAATTTAGGATTATATATAAGATGCTAAGGAAAGAGACGATTTTGCATAAAATAGGGAAGCAATATATTGCAGCCATTATGATTTTTGAAATCTTGAAAGTCCCAAGTCAATTCTAATTTAAATAATTACATTCCTAATTACATGTATTAATTAACATATTCCTCAACACTTGTCCTTCCTAAAACACCGGGTAGCATAGCTTGTGAAGAGCTGGAGACGAGCTTTGTTCCACGTATAAGTCCAATAATACTTTGGCAGCTTACAGTAACTCCGGACTTCTCAGGATGGAAACTTCTAAAGAATTATTTGCTATTGTACTTTCAAAGTAATCACACAAACTAGTGAAGTTATTTAATTTTTACACAGCAAAAAAAAGCTGCTATAAATGAAAACATGACAAGGACTCCATATGATCTGAAATTAATTTCCAAGGGTAGAGGCAGCTTGGGATGCTATGTGCTAGAAAGCATGGGAATAATCAAAGCTGGATAAATTAAGATATATTTCACCCTCCCAGTGGGATGGCCCGATTGTCTGTGGCTTTTCCTACATGGAGCAACCTTCTGCCACACAGAAAGAAAGAGCTGTAAGGAAGAGGCGAAAACAATGCGTGCAGAAGAAAACAATGCATCATTCACTGTGCCAGAAGGAAAAGCTCTGTTATTATCTCCCCTGCCAAATCAAGAGGCTTTGAAATCTGTGAATAGAGGACATCAGCTTTTCAGCCACCACCGCATCCCCAGGGACCAGGTGGTACAATGAACATACCATCCTGCTCCCCCAAAGCAGCTCAGATGCAGCTTTGCTCAGGGAGCTTTCTCGAGCAGCCTGCTGAACTGCCAGGCCTCTGCCACRGAGCAACGTGCTGTGCTATACTTCAAGTTGCCCTGGGGATGCCGGGTCTGCTAAAGTTACCATATAAAGTAATTTGCAGAAAAATATTTTTCCAATTGCCATTTCTCTCATTCTCGGGGGAAAGCAGCAGAAGACAAACACAGCCCTACGGCAGAAAGGATCCCGAGGAGCTGGACTTGTTGAAGCAGCTCCCATTGCAGCCAGAAGCCTCATTTCCCCAAGCAGTTCGTGAACTGAGCAGGCACTTATCTCTTGTTCTCAGTTATTCTAAAGTGAATCTTTCGTACAGTATTTGGAGAAGCAGTTTTTTCACAGCAGTTGTATCATCAGTTAGCATCGAGGACTCCATCTATCATTTTCCCCCTCTCAGAACAAGACATCCTGCTTGAACACCAGTATGTCCTGCCTCTTCTAATGCCCTTTGGGGGCTCCACAAGATACTTCATTTGTGGCTCTAGCTGTAGCACAGAGTGGCCCAGTATCCTGACAACAGGATCACACTTTGCTGTATGTGTGACTATGCCCAGMTGGTCAAGTAAGCAGCACTAAATGTCATTTAAGAAGCTCTTGGAAAATCTTAGAGGCAGAATTAGAGGWGCAAGTTCATGAAAACTACTAAAATCAAAGCAATTTGCCTGTCTTTATTACTCTTCACTCACAACACAAATGATTTGAAATGACAGAAATGACTTGAGAAGAGAGTGATAATAAACTGAATGCTGAGTGAGCACTTCCAAAGCAAGTGACTTGTTTGGATTCTTCTCCAGAGCTTCCTCTTCGGAGCCAACTCTGTGCTAGAGGTACAGTGGTGCTACAACCAGATCTTGTCCTCCTAGCTCCACGTCCCAAGCCACAGTCACATAAACTCAGATACAAGCAGGGAGGAAAAAAAAATGCCTTGGGCATTGCTGTTCTTGCACTTGAAAACTCTTTTCTTTTTTCAACCTCCTAATTTGGAAACTACAGCCAGACTGGTCTAATTGGATCCGGTGTAAACATGACGGCACCTCATCAGCCTTGAGAAAGCAGGTGTGTGTCACACAGCCTCCTACCCAAAAACCCCAGGGGAACCGACACCAGCTAAATAACTCCACTCGGATTTTCCTTGTATGGTGCAGGGAGGAACGGAGGCATTAACTCCCAAAGTCCTCAAGACAAATAAATTGCACTGAYCACAGAGGAGGGAACCTGTTCCCAACTTTTCGCCACCTCCCAGATATTGACGCTTTCTTCTTTCCAGGAGGACCCTAACTGGACTGTGCTCTAAAAGCTCCTGCCCAGCTGCCATCAYCACCAGTTTCAAAGCCTCACAAGTCAGTGGAACCCATTCCAGCAGCCAGAGAAGCTGAAGCAGGAAGACAGTTATTGGACCATATGTTTGAATGTATAGGTACAGAGTAGGTTAGCCAAAGAAATTCTTTCACTCTCAAATATTGCACTAAATAGAATGTCATCTATATCAGGGAGCTTATTTGCAAAGTATTACGACAGGATTTGCATGTGTTACGGCAGCTGGTACCAGCAACACAGCCTTCGTGCCAGCAAGGCAGACTTCCACCTCCAAAACCAGGGAACAGGCTGCTTGGACGCCGTCTTCTGGAAATTCGTTTTAAAAGATTTATAAGAAAACAACCAAAATGTAGTGAGATAGCCTAGCTAAAGACTTTTCCAGGTGCAAAACTGCTATACAATTGAATTGCCCTTTGTSCACAAGGTCTTAATTTACCTGGATTAATATTCTGCAATAAATCAATACAATATGATTCCATCATATCCAATAAACTTATAGCACTCTACTGCTCAACTAGGTATGGTATCTTATATGTGCTGAGTAAAGGCAGAACGCACTCCCTGTGCAAACTCCATAACTATCACCTGTGGTTTTCATCAGTGTTCCCACAAAACGCCACAAATCCAGTTGTTCTGGCGTTGTGTCGGGAGCCTGTGCCAGGTACCTCTGCTTGGGCTGCAGCTTCCCYGGGAACAGCTATCCTGCACACGCAGCCAGCTGCCTGCCCCGCAGCACGTGTGCACATTCCCAGGCTAGCACAGCACCTCCGCTCCGCTCGCTCTGTTAGGTGCAACCCAAGAGCTCCCGAGGTCTCCAGCAGCACATGGCCACCACACACCACAGCACCCAGGTCCTGCCAGGTCCTACCACAGGCTGCTGCACAGATCATGTCACCTGAGACCAGGTTTTTCCACTACACATAAAACAACCTGTCCGCTGCCTAAGAAAAGGAGTTCCCACACTTTTCCAGCTCCAAACCTCACTGCAGCCTCCCCTGCATCAGCACTGCACGCTCCCTTACACACAGCTGCACAGCAGGCCACCTCAGCAAAGGCACTGCCCCCAAATCTCACGTCTTCGGTCTCCAAAACAGTTAGTTTTTCAAAGGATTGGTGACTTTATGGCAGACCCCATACAAGGGAGAGAAAAAGAACATGTAGCCAAAGCAAAAGCAGAACTCCTCTTTTTATCCTCTATTTTTATAAATATAGTAGCATCACATGAAACTGTAACCTGACAGAGCTGAATTACATGAAGACTCCAGCACAGACAGTCCTATTAGCACAACGGAACTTTTACTAGTATGTCTCTCTTGGCTGAAGGGGTAATTTTATTGTCCATAAAATATAGTATTATGAGTAAAAGTACAGTTGTGCAAGCACCTTTAACCTAGCTTTTTGATAGGTGCTTTTGGCCAGGAGAAAAAAAGAAAAAAAAAAAAAAAAAAAGAATTTTGATTTGAATTACTCAGCTTTGCCTAGCAGAATAACAAGCACTTAGAACAAACACCTACTAAGTAATATATTTCCTGCACAGTTAGCCAAGATAAATAAGCGCAACTACAAGTGACATTTAACAACAACAACAAAATGTTCAATACAAGAATTCTACATTTAGTCAACAAATCCACTTCCATGGACATACATGCACAAACAACAATCCCAGAATAAGAGGATCCCGGTGCATTTCATAAAACAAAACACTATCAAATAAAAACTCATCTTAAGAAATACTTATACTTGGAACAAATACAGATACGGAGTAACAGATAAAACTGTCTGGTTACCTAAGAACAGTACTTGACTGCCATCTTCAGGCTACCCTGCATTATGGGCATAATAACATCACCCTAAAGCAGTGCTTGACAGGCAGTTGCACAATTACAAAATGTAAACTTACCCTTTGAGCGCATGCAGAGCAACTGAGTTGTGATTTAGCCCCCCAAGAAAATGTTTTAAATCATCTATGGTGCAAAGAAATCTAGATATACTCCATATACAATCATCTCAGCAAAAATCCATATCCTAGTGAAGATTTTGTTGACAAAACATTTGACAGAAGAAAATTCACCTTGATATTCAGAAGAGGCACTAGTTAAATAGGACTTCACTTGGAAGAACCAAACATATATGTGTTAATATGGCAGAATTGTATTTATTTAGCAACAGTTTTCAAACTAAATAAATTTATCTTGTTCTTATTTCAGCTTTCTTTCTAATACTCTRCTTTCCTTCTACAACAGCAAACTACTCCACAAGTGAAAAGTAAGCTCAGGATTCACAACACCTTTTATGTTCCTGGCAAATATTTTCAAAAAAACACTTCTTCAAGAAGAGACAAGAATAACTGTCAAACTATTAGTACASTGCAATTCTTAAATAACAGACTCACCAGAAAGACAAATGCCTTTAGCAGTGACCTTGAAGCAGTCTTCAAATTTATATCAGAAAATTAAAGCTAGGATTCATCTTTGGGCTTCCAAATTGCATTTAATGGGACTTCTGTACAGCCTTCGGATTTGGTAACAAGAAATGAGGGTCTAAACTTGAAATTTTCCATCCTTACAGCAAGTCTAACAGAGATCACACTCTTTCCAAAATTAAGAATGAGGCCAAACTGTCAGTTTCCAGGAATAAACACTTATTCTGAAGGAAAGAGGAACTGACTTTGTCCTTTTTTTCCCCTCCTTGAAAAGACAAAGTCTCACTTACAGAACTGCAAAACAGCAGGGGTTGGAAGGGACTTCTGGAGATCCTCTAGTGCAATCCCCCTGCTCAAGCAGGGTCTCCTGCAGCACATCGTCCAGAACCATGTCCAGGCATTTTTTTGAGTATCTCCAAAGACAGAGACCCCTCTGGGGGCAACCTGCTCCCCTGTTCAACCACTCTCACAATAAAGAAGTGTTTCCTTGTATTCAAGTGGAATTTCCTGTGTTCCAGTTTGTGCCACTGCCTCTCACCATGTCACCAGACACCACTGAGAAGAATTCTGCCCCATTTTCTTGACACTCTCCCATCAACACTTTATACACCCTGATAAGATCCCCCTGAGCCTTCTCTTCTTGAGGCTAAACAGTCCCAGTTCTCAGCCTCGACTCGTATGAGAGAAGCTCCGGTCCCYTAAAGACCTTTGTGGCTTTTCCAGTTTTGCAAAGGTTAAGGAGCGTGGCCTTTGTTATCAGCCACTCTTGTGAGTCTGCTGCTCCTTTAGTGGCATTTAAAACCAGACCCAATAAATGCCAGCACAGCAAAACACATACCTATCTCTAGGAACATCCAGCGCAGTGTTATAATCCGGTGTCCCCCCAGGCAGCATATTGAAGAGCAAGTGATTTGTGCCTCGATCCCACCTAGGGGAAAAGGAGGAATACGTGACCGTTAGAAAGGAGTGTTCTCTGGATGAAGCATAAACTCTCTCAAAGCCTAGCTGCGGCACTGACCCACGGTATATTCCCCTCCAGCGTTCACCCAAACTGCCTTACCGGAGCCCTTCAAGCACCCACACGGCCGTGTGCAAGTACCTGGAGAGCTGTGCCAAGGCCTGAGCCGTCTCCTTGACACGGAGCGTGTTCTGGTTGAGGACATCTATGGAGGGCACAAAAAGGCAGGCCCGGTTGACATCGTCGGTGTAGAACTCGCTGTCAGAGATGGCAGTCAGCAGCTCGTTGTACTCCCTGGAGATGGTGTTGCTGACCGGCGTCCCGTACTCATCCACGTACTTCTTCAGCGAGTAGATGTACACCTTGATCTTGTTCTTGGGGTTGAAGCCGCAGCGGTAGACGTCGAAGCAGGTGTGCATCCTGCAGCTGAGGTCTCCTCGCTCGGGAATGGGGCTGTCGGCAGGGAGCTTCACCACGGGCACGTCGTGGACGCTGCGTTTCTCCACAGTCCAGTCGCTGGACGACTCAATGGAGTGCGGCCAGAACTGGAACATGCCCGTAGCAATGAGGCCAAGCAGGACTATGGAGAAGAGGGTGATGTAGTAGATGCGATGCTTGGTTTTCATTCTCGGGATGAGGGCTGGACCCCGGCTGTTATATTTGGCTGACGCACACATAATGGAATCAATGATCTCTTGTTTCTACAAAAGAGAAAAATACAGGTTTAGGGGTAACTCCTAGAAGAGACACGTAGCCATCTCACACAGTGCAGGAACGTTCGGCTAACCCGCTCGAGGCAGGTTCTCCGCCTYGGCAGGACGCAGTAAAGTCTCTTCAGGTGCCCGTATTTCCCATGGGGATAATGATGCCAAGTGACCCGCCTGGTGGGAACACACATCACTTATCTCCTGGACATAATCATAACGCACAGCAGCTCGGGGCCTGGGGAGCCCCAAGGAGGGGACCCGGGGGCCCAAGTGCCACAGAATTCAGGTGCCTTCACAGGCCTTGCTCCGTCTGTGTCCAAATGATTCACTGTGAATAATAAAGAGGTAACCAATGCTYGACTCAGCTGTGAGCACAGAGAAACGACTCGGACACCCCATACGGGCCTTCTGAAGCAGCAGCACACACAGCGTAAGGCAACGTAAGACTACTGCCTTTCTCTGACATAAAGCGGCTTTCAGAACGCATTTTATAGGAGCCCAACCATATCCAACCAAAACAACCCCAAGTATTTGGACGTATTCGGACTATATACGAGTTGCCACTGCAGCCACGTAAGAAAATCATTTAAAGCAATAGCTCAGTGTAGAGTGAAAAGGACAACACAACATAAACCACCATAAACCCATCCCCAGAAATACTGGCGTTTTGGATTTATTTTTTTAGCCAATTTTTGCACAAACAGAACATAAGTGTTTCCGTCGCGGGCGTTTCCTCGCTGCGGGGCGGGAAGGCCCAGGGCGGCCCGCGCTCCGCGAGCTGGGGCGGGCGCGCGGCTTCC